TATATATATAGGCTTTTTTGATACCTATACAAAGTTGAGTGCTTTCTCTGTTTCCGGAAAAAAAAAATTAAGTTTAATTGACGCAATAAAGTGAAAGTTGATTGACCATTATGAAATTAACCTCTTATTGTATGTTTGGCCCAGCTTCTCCAAACTTAGAAGCTCGATGTGTTTGGCCAAGCTTTTGAAAGAAAAAAAGTACTTTTGAGCCGTTTTTAAAAGTTTGGCCAAACACTAATTGTTGTTTAAAAGTATTTTTCAAATTAATTAGTCAAATACAATCTACTTTCACCAAAAAAAACTTTTGAAAAAAATCACTTATCAAAATAAGCTGATTTTAGAAGCTTGGCTAAACAGGCTATTAGTTGGATAACTTTGAACTTTATCTTTTATTTATTTTTGCTTGATGTAAACCCTCCGAGACAATCAACAAGCAAAAGAGATTTGTGGTATCCTATGCTAGATATTGGGATCTAGTAACAGTACAAATTTGGTAGTTTTAATTTAAACGACACACTTTCTTTACTATTCCGTTTAAAAAAGAGTAATACATTTTTATAATTAAAAACAACTTAACTTTGAACTTTTTATTTTACCTATTTTACTCTTAATGAGAAGCTTTTATAGTCACACGAATATTTTAACTCATCAAAACGTTTGTCCCTTAAGCTTTTAGGACCACATATTTCAAAAGCCTTCTTTTTTTTCTTAAAATGTGTCAAATCAAACTACATAATCTCAATTAAAATGGAGGGAGTACTTCTATTTGGTCAAAACAAAAAACAATTAGAGTGATGCAATTGGTAATTTTCAATTTCGTGGTGGAGTTTCTTGATATTATTTTCCTCTGTACAGGGACCAGGTCTTGGAGTATCAAAAGTGGGCTATACCACTTGCTAAAAAGTTGCTGGAGATTCTATTAAAAGGCCTTAATGTCAATGAAAATATTGATGAATCTTTGGAACCTCTATTGATGGGCACTATGGCTATCAACATGAACTACTATCCACCATGCCCAAATCCAAGCCTCACAATCGGTTGTCGCAGACACTGCGACGTTTCTTGCATTACTATCCTCCTTCAGGATGACACAGGAGGCCTTTTCGTCCGAGGAACCAAAGACAATAACTGGATCCATGTAACTCCAGTTAGAGGAGCCTTGGCTGTTAATATTGGGGACTCGTTACAAATTATGAGCAACGATCGATACAAGAGTGTCGAGCACTGTGCAGCTGTCGATTCGAGCAGGGCTAGAATATCTATACCGTTTTTTGTGAATCCTAGGCTTGATACTGTCATTGGTCCTTTCCCACAAGTTCTGGAAAATGGAGAGAAACCAGTCTATAAGCAAGTTCTGTTTTCTGATTATTGGGAGTATTTCTTCAGTAAGCGCCCTTCGGGAAAAGCATCACTTGATTTTGCAAAAATCTGATGATGTTACTATTTGTTTGCATTGGTCGAGAGAAGAGAGCTGCATGTATTTTTACAATTGCACAACATATTCATATGCTTACAAAAATACAAATTGAATTCTTCATTTTTCTTGTACTACCTCATCAGTTTGGATTTAATTAGTTTGATGCGGATCTCAACAACTCATTATTGAACAAAATTCTCGTTGTGATTGTCCTCAAAAAAGAGTCAGCTATATGATCCAAGTCGAGATGTTATCGCCTCCTCAGTTGTTGCTTAACGATTTCTCTTTCAGCGATATGTCAAGCCACGTGGAATAATTTTGCCGCGTCTGAACAGCAGAGGGTTACTTTTGAACTAATTGTGTGCCGTCGGGGGCTATGTTGAACCAACAATATAACCGAGGGTATGAATGAACATTTTCGAATAGCAAAAGGATATTTTTTACCCTTTTCCGTTAAAAGAATCATCAATTTGAATCAAGTAAGAAGAAAAAGCCACCGTATTCGATCAAAACTTATAGATATGTATAGACACAAAATATATTAATGTTTGTGTAAAAATATTACAAATTGGTAATGTAATAAATATTGTCAATTCTATTTGAAATTATTTTAAATTTTTTTCTACAAATATCTGCTCAAACCAAATTTTGGGACTTATAGCCGGATTTGTAACTACACAATTTATTTTTGTGAGAGTCCTATTACTCCCCTAAACTTTTTTTAAATGGAATTAGTATACCATTAATGTTGATGCGGCAAAAGTGTATGTCGCCGAAAGAGAGAATGCAGAAATTTTATTTTTATAAAATACTATTTTCCTATTTTTTTTTTCCTCTTGTTTTTTCCTTTTCTTTTCTCCAGTTTCGTTACTTACAGACTTGGCCGGAAATTAGCTCCAGCATTCTCCATATTTTCCGACGAGAACGAGTTGCAAATTTTATTCTTTTTTCACTGCACTTTTATAGAGGATCGCTGCTACTTCTAATCTCTTCACTAACCACTTTTAAACTTCCAATAGCAATTGTTCCTCACAGAAAGGAATGAAAAGATGTAGTCCCAAGATCAACTTTTGATTAAACCTAGAAGAAGCCTACTAAAATTTTCTTCGGCATTTGACCACCCACATAACGGATCGTTGATGTCGTCATTTATCGAAGAAGTTTTATTTGTTGAAGCAGAATTTTGAATATGGGTTTTATTTAATCAAGTGTACAAGAACAAACTAAAAAAGAAGAAGGGTTTTGATTGTTAGTTGTAAAAAATATTCTCATCATGCTCGCCATTTTCTGATCGGGGCCTTCGGCTTTTCACTGCTTCAGGTAGTAAGGTAGGGGAGGAGAGTCATATTTTTTTAATTAATCAAATTTACAGGGAACGAGGAAGAAGAATTTGGTTGTTGATTGTTGATTGCCAGAAAATTTTTTAGGAGTTCACCATTTTTCGATCTGCTTAACCAAAAAAAAATGCTACTTCACTTATGGGTTGATGGATGGAAGAAGGTGGGTTGTGTGAAAAAGGGAAATTAGTGTAAATATATGTGTCAGGGTGATACTAGTTCCATCTAAAAGAAATTTTGGAAGTAAATGGACCCGAGAAAATAAAGTGTGTAGTTATGCATTTTCCTTTTCCTTCCCGACCCCATGCATAGAGGATTTGTGTACCAGGCTGACCATAGATTAATCTACGATTCCTCTAGTTTTATTAGATTTACTTGAACGACCCTGTCCATAAACCAGAAAACTATTTTCTCACTTTCTCCTCCTCTTCGTTCCTCGTGAGTCCTGAGCTTTTCGCTGTCAGCATACCAAAGCGATTTTCCCAAATAAATGCCTCCTGCAGAAGTCCCTAACTCATCAGATCTCATTGATTTTCTAGTAAACAAAGGCAATGGAGTAAAGGGTCTTTCCCAAATTGGTCTCAAGAACGTACCTGAAAAGTTCATTCAACCACAAGAAGAAAGACTAGATTTTACCCAACTAGTGTCCTCAGAATCCATACCCATAATTGATTTCTCAAATTGTGATGACCCAAAAGTTGCAGAATCAATATGTGATGCAGCAGAGAAATGGGGTTTCTTTCAGATTATTAATCATGGTATTCCAGTTGAAGTTCTTGAGAATGTATTAGAAGCTGGGCACAAGTTCTTTGAGTTGCCTGTTGAGGAAAGGAGGAAGTATTTGAAAGAGAATTCACCTACTCACACTGTGCAGTTGAAGACCAGCTTTAGTCCTCTGGCTGAGAAGGTTTTGGAGTGGAAAGATTACCTTTTTCATATCTATGATTCTGAGGATGAGAGCAGCACTATGTTGTGGCCTGCTGTTTCCAAGTAAGAGAAACATTAACAATTCCTGTTTAAAGTTTCAATCTGTCAAGTGCTGCTTTTATATGTTTTTATTTCTGTTTGGTCTAAACTTGGTTAACTGAAGTAGTACCCCAACCTCTAAGTTTAGAGGGCTTCAAAAGATTGATCTTTCTGCTTAAAACTTATCCTATTAGACTAAATTCTTGAGTCAGTTTGCATGGATCTTCACCATCCCACGTGGTCTGCTATCTTAATTTACGTGCATCTCGACCAAATGAGAAGAAATCACCTTAGTATTTTTTGTCCTTGCGGGGATTTGATCCCTCATCTCCAATTTTGCACCTAGTTTATTGACCACTAGCGACACCTTAATTGGAATGCTCTTTCTTGTATGCAAAGAGTAAATTTACCATGATATACGGAATTTTGCACCTTGCTATATTATAAACAACTACTGTAATGATAAAAAAGAATAGTAAGGAAATGCTAGTACTTATAAACTTTTTCTTCACTTGGCATCAATGGCGAAATATTTAAACAATTTTTTACTATTATCTACAGATATTACTCTATATTATGAGAGTTATGAATTAATGATGTATGACAAAGTAAAAACTACAGTGTCTAGACTATAATTTGAAGAATATATTCAAATTTATGCAAATCATTTGTCAATTTTGTGTCATGACTGGAAAAGCTGAAAAAGGGAGTATGTGTTTTTTACCTGATCCAGAGAGCACCTTAACATTTGCAGACTAACAACAAGTTGCTAGCTTTTCAACTTGGTGAATGCCAAATTTTCAAGTGATAGTGTTTGAGAACTTCTACTAATGCCAGTTAAGATTAAAATAAAACAAAATAAAGAGCTCTTTGAAGGCAGAAGAATTCTAACAAAATGCGCTTATATCATTGCTAGATAACTTATCCGTATGTAATTGATAGTAAGCTATTAGATCCCAGCAAAGCTCTCTGGAAATCAGCAAAAGCTGCAAGTTCTATCGTGGCTTAGCCTTCGGAAATACTTATCCGATATCTAAGTAGTATTGTCTGTTAGTTGAGAGAACTATTATCACATGGCGAGAGAGAGTATTATCAAGTTGCATTTGCTGATCTAGAACCAAGCATAAACAAAATATGCATTTAATTTGCTCTTGCAAATTCTAGTACGCACAGTGGCTGTATCTAGTCCTTAGTAAGTTGCTCGGACACAGGTGCAGGTGTCCAATACGGGTGCAGATCTAGAAGTCGGATCCTTCGAGATGTAAATTCTAAGATTTGGGGATACGGAGCCTCGTACAGATACGGGTGCGGGATCTGGATAAAAAAATTCAAAAAAAGAATAAAAATATAAAAATATCTCTAAATTATGAGAAATTTTATGGAATACTTACATATAGCTTGTAAAGTGTGGGTTCCGTTTTTATCAAGTTGTAGATAAGTAAATGATTGATTTCCTAGATAAAGTATGCTATTTTCTTCAAATTTACCCTAGTTTTGGTTCTGATTTCTGGAATTAAATTGTATCTATCTCGAATTTTTCCATTCATCGTGGTCAAAGTACCCAAAATTGTTTGACCAGATCCGATACGGATCCCATACCCACGCCTATATTAGTATTGTGTCGACACGGGTGCGGTACCTAAACTGCCATATCGGAGTAGCTTAGGTCACTCCTTACGAGAAGCCCCTAGACTAGGAAGATCAAACATCTCCTTGGGAATAAGACGTAACTCGTGGTGTTTCTTTTATAATAAAATAAACAAAGATCCCTTTCCAATACGGGCCCAAAGGCCGGAGCCAAAGAGCAAGTGAGGTCTACTCCACATAGCCAGGTCTTATGCCTGGCAATGTTGAAGCAGCTCTAGGCATTTCCCTTTCGATGACTAATATGACCACTAGCCTTCCAGCCCATTCCCTCAAACAGGACTGCGATCGCTCTTACTTGTTGGGCTCCTTTGCTATTCAATATCACTATCCGTCTAGACCATTTTTTGGACTAATGTCATTTTACTTCTACAGAGATCAGGTTTTGGAGTACATGAAATGGGCTAAACCTGTTACAGTAAAGCTTCTAGAGGTGCTGCTCAAGGGACTAAATGTGAAGCAGATTGATGAAGCAATGAAGTCTGTTGTAATGGGTACGCTGATTGTTAACCTCATTCACTACCCTACGTGCCCGAACCCTGAGCTCACTGCTGGTGCTGGTCGTCATGCTGATGTTTCTTCAATCACTATGCTCTTACAAGATGATGTCGGTGGCCTTTATGTGCGAGAACCCAAAGGCGATTGCTGGATTCATGTGGCCCCAGTCAAAGGAGCGCTCGTAATCAATATAGGGGATGTCCTTCAGATCATGAGCAACGATAGGTACAAGAGCGTTGAGCATCGCGTGATTGTAAATGCCAATAGAAATAGAGTATCAGTGCCAATATTTGTGAATCCAGCGCCTGATGCAGTTTTGGATCCTTTGCCACAAGTGCTAGAAAATGGAGAGAAACCGTTTTATAAGCAGGTGATTTATTCAGATTATTTCAATTATTTCTTCAGTAAAGGCCATGAGGGCAAGCAGGCAATTGAATTTGCAAAGCTATGACACAATTTGTTGATTCTACCCTCTTTGCCTCTATATATAGATTATGGAGAGTGATCAGTGTTCTCCCTTGTTTAAATTATATCATAGAGAAAAACATGCTACTTAAGGCTAAATTTACTTTGTTTTCCTGGTTGTACGCTATTCAAACTATTCCGATAGAAAAGAATATTGGATAGAGATGTGTAAACATCTGGTGCAGGTAAATATTTTACTCTCTTTAGAATGCTGATATTGTTGTAGATGCTCGCGTTGTAAAGTTGTAGCCAATTTCTTGAGCCTTTAAAGCAAAGAATTTGGTAACTACAAATGAGAAAAGCATTTTGACACGCCATCCTAAATTCTGTGTAGCAACTAGCAAGCAGTGTAATTTAAGTCAATTCTTAAAGTTTGATATTATTCTAAAATCTGTGTCAACAATGTACAAGACAAACTGTAGTGGAAAGACATATTTCCCTGTTCACCCGTTGAAACAATTTTGTACTATTGTTAGACAAATAGCACGTTTAAGAAATTGTAATGATAATCTGTCTAATAAATTGTCCTGAGTAGAAATCGAACAGCCAACTTAAATCTAAGTAGAAACTACCTTAATTGGTTTATGGTTCTGATGCAAAGATTCACTGTTTTGGTGTTGGCTCTTGTGGTCTGAATGTTTCATTCTTTGTAGGACTGTCATTTGACTCATAAAATATGACCTGCCAACACACCCAAATGTTAACTAGTCGGGTTAATGCTGTATTAAACACGGGTAATTTTTTTTTTTTAGGTTATGACCCACTGTCTATCACATCTATATTTGACCCGTTTCGACGAAAACAAACTTTGAGCAAATTCAACTCATTGTAACCCATCCAAATTGATCAAGCCGTTGATTTGCCATCTCTAACGATTTACTTATCAAGGAGAGAAAAGAACAGCAAGAGAGAGAGAGAGAGAGAGAGAGAGAGAGAGAGAGAGAGAGAGAGAGAGAGAGAGAGAGCAGTCACTTTTCATATCAAATGGAGCATTGTCGAGTTCTGCTGTTTGATTTTCAAACACGTAAACTCTACAACAGATTGACCCTAAAAACAAAAGTCAATATGGAAACAATCTTCAATCAAAACAACAAGGCCAAACAAAATTGACTTTGCTCTATTGGTTAACACGGAGTTCATTGGACGAGCATATCATTGGCAGGGCAAAGCAACAAAAATCCTACAGAAATCAGTGTCCCGTTGATCACACTGTAAGTAACCAATATATAAAGTTATTGTTTCTCTTTCTTTGCCAAGGATTCTCCTTTATGTTCACTGCCTGCTGAGACCACATAACCTGCTCCAACCTGTGTCGAACGTGCAAAATGAAGTACTCAAACTTGAAAACACATACAAACATTGACCCACCCTAAGCTCGTATACTACAACAAATTAATGATGTCAACAACAATAATAATCATAATAATAAATTATTAGTATTATTGTTCTAGAAAATATAAGTAGGTGAAAGAGGAAAAGCACGATACCTGGCAATCTTTCAGTACAGCACGTTCTTGGAGCTGTACATTACTGCAAACAACAGAACCTTGGATTGAACAACCATCTCCAATTGTGACATGGTCCATAATGACTGAGTTGACAACCTGCAAAAACAAGCAAGAAGGGAAGCAACTTAATAACGAGCTAGGCAACACATGTACAGCTGCGTTTCCTGAGATTGCATCCTTGTGCGACAAAAAGTTGCAAACAATAGCTGTGTTCCTTTTTATCAAAGGTAAAGAATGAATCATACCTTCACATTTGAGCCGATACGACAATGCCGGCCAATGACAGACTTTTTCACGCTGCACTTGTCACCCATTTGTGAACCTTCTCCTAGCATACAATGCGGTCCAACCTAAATTAGATTAATTCCTCAGTCATGAGAACCAAGATCCAACAATTTGCACAATTTGTAACTGTGTTTTTTGTCGCACTGACTTGGTGCAAGTTAATCATATATAATTTTCTTATATTCCCATAAAAACAAACCAAGATCCAACAAGACAAATTAAAACCAAAAGGAAAGGTATGATGCAATATGAACTTCTTTCTTCGGCACTAACAAAAATAAATAAAGATGACACAACATGTGCAACAACATAATATTCTACATATATAACTGTAAGTTGCAACTCACTGTAGTTTTGGAACCAAGCACGGCTGTAGGATGAATTATGTTGTTCTGGGGAGAGAAAGAATAGTCTGACAGGTGACTTGCATCACCTATGACCTAAATCATAGAGAAAGTAAACTAGCTCATTAGCAGATAAGCAAACACATCTGCTTTAGAGATAAGCAAAAATACAAGGTTAAACAGTAAATCTCACATCTCGATTTATGTCACTGAAGGCTTGAATGGAGTTTAAGCGCACACAATAATTGCTCTTGCTGGCAATATATACGCAGCACTTGTGAGTCTTTCTTGGAGATGGAGCAGAACCATCAGGACCCAAAGCGTATAGTTCATGAAAACTTTGTGTAGATGCATTGGTCAGTAGTTGTGACAGCATAACTGTACTACTCTCAGAAAAATCCTTATGATGCCCATTTTCTTCTGCTAGCACTCCATTTTGTGATAATTCAGATCTCTAATATAATTCAACATCATCAACTCATGGAGAATCTTAGATGGAAAGTAAACAAAGTTAACATGTGGCAGAAAAAAATCATGCGTTATAAGACTTACTAGCTGACTCCTCACAAGATAAGGCAACACGTCGCGCCTCAAGCTCAGAAAAGTTTCTTTCTTATTCAGAACCTCTTGCAAAACAGTTCTACAGGAGAAAAACGTGGAAATGACAACCATTTTCGAACATACCCAAAAAAAACCATCTTAGAGAATATCCAAGCATAATGGATAAACAACATCAACCAAAACTACTTGAAATCAGATAGAAACACCTCGAACCTCTTGAAGGCATACATATGAGCATCCATTAGATCAGCACGAATCTCCATCTGCAGATTAAAGAAAAAGGATAAGATGGAGAAGGAAAACTCCACCGAAAATTACGGAGAAGCTTGTATATCTGGATGTATCTGCACGCATGCACTTCGTTTCTAATGGTCCAATATCATATTTTCATGTGAATAGAGAAAAAAGGGTGAAAAACACCAGAAAAGGTTCTTGCAGAGAGCAGCATGTCAAGTATCTCACGTTGGTTAATAAGCAAAATTCAATAATACATATACATGCCAGTCTGTGTTTATCATATTTGGATAGAGAGGAACCAAAGAGTTTTTCAGGGGAAGCAAACTGAACCAGAGATCATTATCACGAAGATTATTCAAGAAGTGTTTTATAGAGCACCAATGAAGAGTAGGCTGACTGCAGTACTTAGACAAATTAATTTCTATCCTCGATAGTATTGCTTTAGAGAATAGTTGTTTGTGGAGTTCTTTGAAGTTTTAGTTGAGTAGCTGTTTTCTGCATTTTGGATAGAACGGTATGCAGTTTTTTTGTGTTTGTAAATGTACAGAATGTCATTGGTAATAAAATTTCTTTATTTACCCAAAAAAATAATAGATATACATGTGATCATGAAAAACATAAAAACTCCTGCATTGGATATAGAAGAAATGAAAGAGATAGATCATATGAAGAAGGAAACAATCCAAAATAATAGCAAGCCATAGCCAAGCTGAATCATAGATTGGGAGGAGGAGGAGAAAAATACTACATCTTCAAGCAAATCTACCAGTTCTTCACTTATTTCCCCTCTCTTTTCTCATTAATTTCTCAAGTAACAGGAATCAGACAAGAGGAAAGATGCACGAGTAGAAGAGAAACATATCAGAAAAAAAGTAACAGGAATCAGACAAGAGGAAAGGTGCATGAGTAGAAGAGAAACATATCAGAAAAAACTCCCATCTTAGTGATTTCATTAGCTATGAAGTTCGTACTGATTGGCATCATTTACCTGGCCTACCGCTCGGAGAATGCTCTTCTGGACACGAATATCTTTCTCAACTTCAGCTCCTAGAGGATATCAAAGATGCCTCATAAGGGAATAAAACCAATTGATGCATGAAGGATGTAAAAGCATATGCAGGGGTCTCACCAGCAGCTATATGCAACAGAAATTGTTTAGTGAGGTCCAGTCCTATAATGTTATGGCGTGCCGGTTTCTTGGCTTTGTCCTTTCCGCCAGAGGAACCTGACTCAGATGGGCCACTGACAGGAGTAGAACAAAGCATAGCAGTCACTGCAGCATCATGTCGTCTATGAGCAGCTGCCACTGCCCCAGGAGGAATATCAGAAACAAGATCACCACTCACAACCTGCATAAGAATCAAACAAATTAGCTCATTAAAGCATGCGACCATGTTGGAAAGCAATTCGGATTAGAACATCAACCAAAATATCTTTTGCAGTCAGGTGGTGATCAATGGCCCTAAGAGCTCCAGCTGTCCCGATATCCTCAGGGACTGCTGCAACCTGAAGACAAAGTAACAAAAAAAAAATTAAGCCCTTAATGTAAAACTACTAAGTTAACAAGGGCCAAATAAGTATTAGGATGAGCACTAGATTTATCAAGTGAACTTTTTAATGTAAAACTACTAGATTCATCCTGCTCAAAACAGTCAGTCAACAGGGAGCATTAAATAAATTTATTTTGAGTCCAACTTTTGAGGAGCATTGACGTTAGTAAAGAGCAAGTTCATAACAAAAAAAATAACAATAATAATAATAATAGGCACTGCTTGGCCATTCGGCCTTAAGTATAGCACAAAATGGCCCAACTCCCATTTTATTTGCCCCTTTAACCATATTCCCGCACTGTTAGACAATTCATTTTTCTCTGCAAATTCACCACGTCTTCCTCACCCTTCTTCCTCACTCGTCCCCTGCCCCCTCCTCTCTTCTCTTCTTCTTCATTAGTATTTTCTTAAAGACCAATCATCTAAGGTTTGGGATTGAACTGGAATTCAAAGTTGGGACTCGATTTGGGACTTGAGTTGGGAAATTGGGGCGTGCAGATTGTCAATGGAGAATCATTCTAGCCCATCCCTATTTGGATTATAATCAGCGCCTTGCCAAATCAAGATTTGTAATTTGTTTATGTACAGCAATAAACAAAACTGATATGCGCAATTGCTGCATAACCTATCAAAAATAGTAAGGCTGCATTTGGGGAGTGCAGTTGGCAGACTTGCAAAGCAACTGGATTCCACTAGAAGCATGAAATTTCTCAGTTACCAAAGCCCTTCTCTCTGTTGTTAAGTTTGAAGATGCTCAAAGACCTTTTTCTTCATGATGGTTGTGTCAGGACCACCTTGCACGCTTCACTGGGTATCTACTACCTCGAACCAATACAAGTATGGGTAACTC